ATATTAAAATTTATCTTATCGGTTCTTTACATCAATTTACTACTTTTGATAAATTTGTTTCCAGTTATCATAATATATATTTCGTCACATGAATGCAAAACTATCCTAACTCAAAAAAATTCTTTTTTTCGTTTATCCCATATAAATGTAAACCATATCATATTTTTTCATGCAGAACAATCTAAATATCTTTAAATATCTTAATCTTTAAATATCTTTAAATTTAAATTTAATTTAAACTTTAAATATCTTTAAATTTAATTTTAAATTTAATTTAATCTTTAAATTTAAATTATCTTTAAATATCTAAATATCTTAATATCTTTAAATTTACAGGTAGAAATTTTGTATAGAACCTTATAATCCTAACTGGTCAATTACTATTTTATCAGTACAGAATAATCCTACGTACATACAAACGCAGTTAGGATAGTTCTGCATTTTCAATAACACTGAGCGGCAATATTCTTTTTGTTGTGTTCTGTTTACTTAGGATAAATCGACGGTTATCGGTTAGTTCTTAGTTAGTAAATTCCATCATCTTGTTGGATATTCACGTTTGTTCTTTTATCAAATTGAATCGCAGTGAGTGTGAATTTTAAAAATAATGATGAAACTAGGTAAGTTGTAATATGTTTTATGAGTAAAGCTCGGATTATAGGCAAAATGCCTTTTTTTGCCTATTTTGCCTATTATAAGTGTTTTTTGCACTTTTTGCCTTTTTTCGTAAATTCCGCCTATTTGTGCCTTTTTTAAAATTTCATGGTACTACCCATGATATTATTCTATTACTAAACCATTCTATAATAAAATTTTGGGTCAATAATAAAATATCAATGGTTTGTTTATATAATAGATTTCTAGGAAAATGTACCTGATCGAGACTTGAGGGTTAACTATTTGGAAATCCCTAAGCTTTATTAGTTTATTATCAGTTGTACAGTCGGTTACTGTATCAGAGTTTACTCACAAATTAGCAAATTGCTATATCCTAGTTTAGTTTTGTTGCGTATACCGAAAAGCAAAGAACACGTTTTAAAACGTTCAAGACAGTTGTGTGAAAAGATGACATCTAAATTAAGGCTATGGATCGCACCTTATTCGGAACTTTCTCTAGAAGGAGATGGAGCATTTTGTAAACCATGCGGCAAATCGGTAAGTTTTATTTTTTTTTTCTTTTTTTCTCGTCCCACAACATAACTAAATTCTAAAGCGGTTTTAGAATTCTAATTATTTTTTTTTAATTCTCAGATTTCAAGTAGAAAAAAGTACTTTATTGACCAGCATTGTGGAACCCCACTTCATAAACGTAATTTGGAAAAATTAAATTCCTCTAAGTTAGCCCAAACATCTCTGCGGGATAGTTTAAGCAGTTCAAAAAAAAGGAGGAAGACGCATTTAAATTTGATTTATGCCAGATGATGATTGCATCCAACATTCCTCTATATAAAGTTAATAACCCTAGTTTTAAACGCTTTTTTGAAAAATATCTTAATAAATCCTTACCGGACGAGAGTACATTGAGAAAACATACTGTGGAAAAATGTTATGTGGAATGTATTTCAAAAATTAAGCACGAGTTGGAGGGCAATTTTTTGTATATTATCGTGGATGAAACGACAGATGTATGCGGCAGGTATATAGCTAATTTAATGATTGGAATTTTGAACGAAAACTTTGCGAGAAAACCTTATTTAGTTGCCGTTAAAGAATTGGAAAAAACAAACAATTTAACAATAAGTCGATTTATACAAGATAGTTTAACAAACCTCTTTTTACCCAACGCTATACCAGTGAATAAAATAGTTTTAATGCTTTCAGATGCTGCGGCATATATGTTAAAAGCTGCTGTTAATTTAAAAATTTTTTATCCTAATTTAATTCATTGCACTTGTGTAGCCCACGGGGTAAATAGAATTGCTGAAGAAATAAGAAATCTGTTTCCGTTGGTAAATAATTTTATAAATTTTATGAAAAAAGTTTTTGTAAAGGCTCCGTTGAGGGTGCAAATATATAAAGAAAGACTTCCCGGTGTCCCTTTGCCACCTAAACCAGTAATTACAAGGTGGGGAACCTGGCTCGAAGCAGTCTTTTTTTACTTTGAACACTGCAATGAAATAGAATTAGTTATGTCAGAATTTGATGATGATATTTCCGAAGCCATTCGAGAAGCAAAAAAAATATTAAAAAATCCCAAATTGAAACAGGAACTCGGTTATATCAATGACAATTATAAATTAATAGTTACCACAATTACCTTATTAGAAAAACAAGAGATAAATTTATGTGAGTCAGTAAAATTAATAGATAATTTAAAGACGAAAATTAAATCGGCACCTGGAAGTAACGGTCAATTAATTTTTAAAAAAATGAAATATGTTTTCGACAAGAATGAAGGTTTTTCGTTTTTATCTAATGTTGCTAAAGTTTTGAATGGGACATTTTCCGAGGAATTTCAAATTATGCCAGATTTATTATCCGCTCTGAAATATGCTCCAATTACATCTGTCGATGTCGAACGTTCGTTTTCAATGTACAAATTAATTTTAAGTGATCGAAGACATAGTTTTAAGACCGAAAATATTGAAAAACATTTAGTTGTTTCTATTAATGATAAAATTTTAAGTGGTTACAATGTTTAATTATTAATTAACAGTTATTTAGTTACTAGTTTATTTATACTAATGTTATGATTATGATGTGTAAATATACTTGCCTTAAGTTAATATTACGTTAATTTACTTTGTACAATAAATAATAAGTTATATTCCTTTATTGCCTATATTTTGCCTAAATGTTAATATTCCTGCCTTTTTTAATAAAAATCTTTGCCTATATAGGCGCCTTTTTCTTCAATTTTTGTTGCCTATAAATCCGAGCTTTATTTATGAGTACCTATGTTTTGATATCTATTAAGTGTAATTTAATGAAACTGTCTTATAGTGTATTTTTATGTATGAGAGAGTAATAAAACAATAAATTATGTATGCAAATCCCTAAACTGTTGATACGGGTGACTCAATGAAAAACAGATATTTGTCAACAAGTTTACAGAACTATATGGGAAAACAATTTTAAATCGAGTATGACCACTAGGTATAAAGGTTGGAGCAGAATAGAATACAATAGTTGTGAGGGTTACTAATCCCTAAATAAGGTTGCCAGTGTCGGAGTGATGGAGGTTAACAGATACTAATGAATTTGCAAAAAATGTAAGATGTTTATTTTATTGGTTATATATAACCAATAAAAGTTTAATAAGTACCTACCTATTTGCAAAATAAAGTTTAATTCTTTAGATAAAATAAAACGTTTTATTTTATCTGAAATGAGTGCATTCCACGAAGTAAGGGTTTCAACAATCAAACATTTAATTCTTTAATTCCAGGAATCTACGACAGTAATTGACTAGATAATTACCTTCTAAACTTATTCCACAGAAAATGTGATAGTGGGTTTTTCCATTTTCTAGGAAGGTCCAAGTGGCGTATTCAAAATTCTTAACAGTTCACTAAAAGTAGGTACTTCAGTTGCAAGGTGCAGTTTATTGTGTATACTAGTGTTATGGAAAATTTGGAAGTGCCGTGTAAACGCCGAAAAATTGGTCCTTTAACAGTTAATGAAAAAACATTAATATTTAATTGTTTTAAATCATTTACAGACAAACGTTTATGTGAAAGTGTTGCCGAGACCGTTGAGTTAGTTAGCAGTACACTTGGTGTTGGGAAATCTACGATTTACAGAGTTATTAAAGAAGAGAAATGTGGTAGTTTTCAAATGCCACGTAATGCTCCAGGAAAACCAAAATTTCAAATAGAATATCATTTTAAAGAAGGACTTCGACGGAAAGTGCATGAATTCTTCTTTAGACAAGAATTTCCAACATTGGATAAAGTTCTTGTCTCAGTTCGAGATGATAAGGATTACCCAGAAATGAGTCGAAGTACGTTATGGAAACTTTTAAAAGAAATAGGCTTCCGCTGGAAAAAGAATCCCAGAAAGTCTATTTTATTAGAAAGAAGCGATATTGTCATATGGAGAAGACATTTTCTAAAAACCATAAAGGAAATGAGAAACCAAAAAAGAAAAATATTTTATCTTGATGAAACATGGATCAACGAGGGTCATACACCAAATAAATTTTGGCAGGATGAAAATGTTACAAGTCAAAGGCACGCTTTTGTAAATAACTTATCTACTGGTTTAAACCCACCATCAGGAAAGGGACGCAGGCTGATAATAGTACACATTGGCAGTTCAGACGGTTTTGTTGAAGGTGGTTTATTAACTTTTGAATCAACTCGTACCGGTGACTACCATGAAGACATGAACGCTGATGTCTTTCAAGAATGGTTCGAACAAATGATCGATCTTCTTCCTAAGAACTGTGTAATAGTAATGGATAATGCAAGTTATCACTCCAGACTTATAGAAGGACTGCTCACATCCAAGTGGTTAAAAAAGACTTGCAGAATTGGCTGAGTTCAAAAAATATTACGTACCATTCCGGGTCTATAAGAAAGGAACTTTATTCGTTGTGTGCCCTTCATAAAGAAATATTTTAAAAATACGAAATTGATGAAATTGCCAAGAATCGTGGAATGACAGTACTTAGATCCCCACCATATCATTGTGAATTAAACCCCATTGAACTGGTATGGGCACAGATAAAGAGTTGAAGTTTTAAGAAAAAATACCACTTTTAAAATTCATTATTTCGGACATTTATCAAACATGTTTAATAATTCAAATTTATACTGAACAACGGGTTGCTACAGACGGCAGCACAAGACATAATACTACATAAAAAAGTTTGGGAATAAATTATTATTAAGACAAATTGTAAATTTGAACAAGTGTAATAACAGTTTTAACGTACGTTACGGTTTCTGACCATTTTAATTTGTATCAATTAATTTGAAATGTCTAAAATAAATGTTTTCTTGCCATGCAGATTGTAAGCTCCTTGTAAATTTGTTGCAGGTGCGTTGATGGTAAAAATGGCTATGTCTATTAATTCAACACAACATGAGAATTCTGGAGAATCCAATAATGATATGGTAGGTAGTTCCATATCTGCAGCTACGGTAGAAAACTTTCCCACATTTTATAGTAAACAGCAGGACTACAGAGTTCAAGACGAATTAAGATCTCTACACTCCCCCATAGACAAAGACCAACAGTATGGCCATTTTCAGAATAGCTCTCAGAATTTTCCTACACATGTGAATAATACCGTAGTTCTTGAGACACCGATAGAACAGCAGTTCTCCCAACATTATGATTAATATACCCAGTTACCCACACCTACCTCCGTAGGGCTACTAGTACCTGAATCAGAACAGTATCGATTATCTCAGAATATTTGTTTGGATTATTATATACCTGTAAATAACATCATAGATCTTTAAACATCCATAGAACAACCACATTTGCAGCAACATGATGAAGCTAAAGATTCCTATAATCCTACACCTAACGTTGTAAACAATGCAACACTTGTTCTTCAAGAACAAGTCCTTCAGCGCCAAGATGATATTACGTGTCCATCCACATCTACCGGTAAGCTTTATCGACTATCTCTTTACAAACTGATGAAAATAGTGACCCATATGCTACAGATGGAAGCTCAGATATTGATTTTAATCCAAATGATTTTGATTCTTCAAGTTCTTCTGATGAACGTAATCGTCATAGTTCAATTGCAAAACAACAAGATGTCCTATTTTTTGCGGAAGAAAAACCAGAAATCGCCAAGTCCCGTAAGCGAAAAAGTAACCCAGATAATTGGAGGAGAAATAAAATAAAAAAATTACGAAACTCAGGTAAGGCCTATGTAAATTGGAAGTCCAAAGAAGTTTAAGAAAGGATTATGAAACCGCCATGTCCCATAACATGCAGACTTAAAAGTCAAACGAAATTTCACGAAACACATCACGTCCAGATATTTCAAGATTTTTGGAAACTAGGAGATATTAATTATCAGAGAGAATTTGTTTTGAGGAACTTAACTGTAAAGCCTACAAAACACCCCAGAAAAAAAAAGACGCAATTGAACTTCCAGAAAGTGGTACTTTAAGCAGTGTTACTGAAAGTCGTAGAAAACTATCCTATTTTTATACTTTTCCACAAGAAAATTGTCCAGTAAATAGAATCAAGGTATGTCAAGCGTTTTTCTTAAATACTCAGGTCATAATACTGGGAATAAGTCATCAAATCGTCAAAACAGTAGTTAAAAAAACTCATCATTTAGATTCAATATCGCCACAAGCAGATTTACGAGGTAAAGTACAATGTAATTCTCGATTGCCAAAACATTTTAAGGATTCAGTACGTCATCATATTAACTCCTTTGCTTTGATCGAGAGTCATTATTGCAGAAAAAATAGCACTAAAAAATATTTACCTCCTGACCTCAATATCAGCAAAATGTTCCGTTTATATAAAGCATATTGCAGGGATAACAATATAAGTACCGTAGCTTCTTATGCTATATATAGAGAGGTATTTAACAATGAATTTAATTTGGGATTCTTTATTCCCAAGAAGGATCAGTGCGATTTTTGCAAAAAATTTTCTAATTCTTCTCAATCAGAAAAGGAAGAACTTCGTTCTGCAATGGAAGTTCATCTTAAAAACAAGGAATTATCTAGGGAAAATAAAGAACTAGACAAAGAGAGAGCTAAAACTGATAATTCGTTTTGCATGGCTATATACGACTTACAAAAAACGTTGTTATGTCCTAAAGCTGAAGTATCTCTCCTTTACTATAGACGTAAGCTCGCATGTTATAATCTGACTGTGTACGATGCTGCTAACAAACAGGGATACTGCTACATGTGGCCAGAATCGCTAGCATGTAGGGGTGCTTGTGAAATTGGTAGCAGCATATTAAGTTTCATTGACGAAATGGTACGAAATGGAATTAAGGAATTCAGTTTCTATAGTGACAACTGCCCGGGGCAAAACCACAATAGATTTATATATTGTTTGTATATGTATTGTGCCGCCAAATATGACGTTAAAATTACTCACAGCTTTCTAGAGAAGGGACATACACAAAACGAGTGCGACTCCGTACATGGGGTTATAGAAAGAGCTGCTAAAAAAATACCCATATTTAGTCCACAGCAGTGGTATACATTAGCAAGGACTGCGTGTAAAGTGCGGCCTTATAAAATTAAAGAAATGGCTCAGACAGACTTTTATGATTTAAAGGACATGTTAGCCAAAACTACAAAAAATTGGGATAAAACTGAACATGGTTGCAAAGTCATATTCAGTAATTTAAAAGTTATTATGGTTGAGCCAAAATGTCCACACGAACTTAATGTTAAATATAATTTTGAAGAAGATTTCATAAAAATTAATACTCTGGAATTGAAAAGGAGCTACCACAAATTAGATTCATTAGAGACTTATCAACTTAAAATATTGAGAAGCTCACCGGTTCCAATTTCTTCTGCGAAATATAAAGACTTAATGTTTTTGTGCGAAAACAAAGTTATACCTACGGAATACCATACTTTTTTCACTAATCTTCAAGGTAGCAACAATCCCGAACCGGAAACTGATGAAGATTAATTTAATATTAGGTTAGATTATTAATTAACATATTATTTGACTATTTCACAGTATTTTTTTTGGTATTTTTATTTTGAATTGTAAACCTTTAATGAAAATTAAAAAGTTGTAAATGTTACTAATTTTTATTATTTGTATCCCATGTTGACCTTAATTTTTTGTAAGCTTGAAATTTATAAATGCAGAAGTAGTGTATGTACCAAAATCGCACTTACAATAGTTCTGCAGTAGAATTTCTAAAACAGTAGTATCCTAAGTCACACTTTTTGGAAAAAAACTGTCATTTACCTGTTTCATTCCTAATAACATATTTAAAAGGTTCTTAATATAACATAATAAAACAATTTCATCATTTACTCCAATAATTTTTAAATTATGCCACATTGAAATATTAAAATTGCTCTCCTGTAAAATATCTTAAATGTGAGTTAAGCAAGTTCTGCATTCAGGTGACGATTTATTCTAAGCAGGTCATTATTAAAAAGTACATGAAAAATAACTCACAAAATACAGATATTAAATTAAATGTAAAAAATTAAAAGGATATATGTCAATAAAATTCATTTTATTTAGTTTATACACTAATTAAATTTTTTGCTAAATCAAATTTATTTATGTTTTATAATTAATTTAATATTTGGTCTAAATTTGAAATATCTATCAGAAGTAAACAATGTATGCTTTTTTAATACGATAGTAAATTACGTTAGGAGCAAATGTAATAATTTGTGGAATTATTTTAATATATTTAATTTATTTAACGAGATTTGACGAGATGAGAGGCCAAGGAAAGTCTTGGAATGAAGTGAAGGCCTTAGCGCAAAATAGAACCCGATTGCGCGTTTTCACTGAAGCTCTATGCTCCTATAGGAGATCCAGAACCTTATATATAATTTATATAAAATATAAAAATTACTTAATAATGAAATTATTTTATTGAATTTTAAAAATATTATATAAAATTTAAAAAATACAGAAAACATAGTGCGGAGCTTAGCCCTAGTCCACTGTATGGCCTACTGTATCTTTTTTATTATCTGTTATATAAAATATGTTATATATGTTAATATTTTGCAAATAAAATTACAAAATAACTCATACCAAAAAATATACATTAACTAAGTTAAATAAATAGTTAAATGGTAGAAAACTATATATATATATATATATATATATATATATATATATATATTGTTATGATTGTTTATTTTGAGTTCAAACTTAGTTTATTGAGCCAATAAAAAAGAATTATAACTTATTTGTTATCAAAAGTAAAATAATCCTTATATTACCTGTGTTCGATGGATTCAAAAGATTTTCTAGTTGTCTTTTATCGGGATAGAGAAGAAAAGGATAAGAATACAAATATATTATATTACAAAGATTTACGTTTCTTTATTTTATATGAACGAATAAAACAATTATTAAATTCTGTCGTTATCTTATCAATCAGCATACAAGAAAATAAATCAAATTATTATGATAATAAGATTATAAAGCTACATACATTTATATTACGTGAAAAACCAATTTTACTTAAAATTTTCTTTACTTGAAAAAAGAAACCACAAAACTTTAAACTTTTGATTAGCCTAACAAAACCTCAGTTCTTAAATTTTAATGATAATGACCATGATGTCGAAACGATCCTTCACAGATATAAAATTTAATTGTACAAACACTTACAGTTTATTTTCTTCTTGAGTTGTATGTTGGAACATACCCAGAAAAGTCCAGTCTCCTCAAATATGTGATCTCCCCTCTTTGGCACCTCGGCTCCTTCTTTACGTCTCTGCAAACCTCCTTCAGACTACACAAAAAACACCTGATTCACTTCTCCAAACTCCGCTACTTATTTATGACACCAGGACCTCCTTTTGTCAACTTGCTGCCGTAAGAATACTTTCACATATACTTTATAAAATGCCCACGGTAGATACAAGGACCTCTTTTAATCCACTTGTTATCTCCTTCTTCAAACTATTCACTTCTTTTCGTTACGCCGGTATCCAAACTCACGAACCACACCCTATCTTGAGACAAACGACTGTTTCCTTTCGATGACCAAAATATGACTAACTTCTCCTCTCTCATGATCGACTCACCAAATTCCCATTTAAAAACGACCGTCCAATCAAAAAGCTTAAATTGTGTTTACCATGATTTTGGAAAAGCCTAATTTCGGTTTCAGAGAAAACTAAATAGCTTACTTTAAAATTGGTTTTTTTTTCAATACATCATTTATACATATTTCAAAAGATTAAAATATGGTCATTTAATACTCGACTATACAAACAATGAAAAGATTAACTTACAGGTAAAATGTCTTCTAATTCTAAACAAAGGTTTTTTGATAATTTTGTTTGAAACGGAAAAAGGTCGCCAAACAAATTTCTATTCTTATCTACACTAAATCTTATCTTAAATTACTATATACAATTTGTTTATATTGATATCTTGAAATTTTATTTCGATGGATTTTTTATTTATTTTTCTTTGGTTGGAAAAAAAAAGTATGACAATATATATATATATATATATATATATATATATATATATATATATATATATATATATATACAAACAACACAGTTTATTAGGGTTGCAGTCAGAATTATTGGCCGGGATGTTAAAAAAACACTCTTTTGACTTTTTGTCGAGTTCAGAGAGAGGCTGATAATATGATTCCTTTTTTAGACATGCTAATCCATCGCGGCAATGATGGCATGCTAAAGACGGAGTGGTATCGTAAACCTTGTTTCAGTAACCGTTTCATAAACTTTTATTCTCAACATCCATCTAAGATAAAAACAAATTTGGTTTTGGCTTTAAAAACTAGGGTTATCAATTTGTCACACACAGAATTCAGAGACAAGGGACTAAAAAAGTTGAGATCCATACTACAAGAGAATTCTTATCCCATAGGGCTGTTAAACAAACTCATTTTCGGTTCTCCTTTTCCTTCACAAGTTTCTGTCAACCAAAATTTTCATAACAATGAGATCCGACAATTGACATTGACACATAACGCAGCAATATTACCATCTAAAATAACTTATGGTTGCCTACCCTATATTCCATTTTTGACACCTAAGCTAATGAACATCTTTAAAAATGTTAGTGGCTTAAAAATTACAACCAAAAATGTGAAAACAGTATCGAAGCTTTACACAAAGACAAAAGATCCTTTCACAATACAGGAGTCATCGAATGTTGTTTATTCTATACCGTGTAGTAACTGCAATAAAATTTACATAGGAGAATCATCTCGTAATTTTCACAGCTGGGTGATATCACATCGCAGTGACATAAAAACCAAAAAAATCAATGCATGTGCATTGACAGAACATGCACTAACTCTAAAACATTTACTAGAAAAACACCAAAAATAAAAATAAAATAAATATTTACCTGTACAAAAAATTACACCTCTGTATAATATGCTGCATACCATTAAGACGGGTTAAAAATTATAGACACCTAAGAAAGGCCTCGAGTAATGCTTGTAAAGAAAGATAACATCAATTTACACCTAATTACATATTAATTACACTGTTTTTTCTTTCCATTCTCTGTATGAGTTAATATACACCAGTAAAACATGCCATCAATCAAGTTTTACTATTTTTAACAACACATTTTTAAAAATTTTATGATGTATTATGTCCATAATTGTATATTTTAATGTGTGGTATTAATGTTGAGTGTTCAATGCTTACAAAAATAATCTCAACGACTAGTAAGTTACACTGAGGAATGGTGATATTATTTTTAAATACTTACATAATTGTCTTTTACAGTGTCTTGAAAAAGGAATAAAAATATTCCGAAAGCTCGACAAAAAATCAAAAGAGTGTTTTTTTAACATCCCGGCCAATAATTCTGACTGCAACCCTAATAAACTGTGTTGTTTGTATATATATATATATATATATATATATATATATATATATATATATATTTATATATATATATATATATATATATATATATATTTATATATATATATATATATATATATATATATATATATATATATATATATATATATATCGGTCAGATAGCTCAGCGGACTGTGCGGCTGCCTCTCATTCGCTTCACTGTCGAATGGTTCAGTGGATGTGGGTCGAGCCCCAGCTCGGTGTACAGAAAACAAAAAGTCTAACGCAGCAGTTTAAAATTCTAGATGAATCTGCGGCTTAGACTAAGATATGCTGGGATCTGATCGGCCTATGGTGCAGCAGTATGGCAAGAGATAAGGGCTTGCGGCTTGGTGATACTCCTCCGTAGATCCCTACCGGACGGGCGTAACGCCTAAGAAAACCGGATATATATATATATATATATATATATATATTATATATATATATATATATATATATATATATATATATATTTATTATAATAACAAAATAATTTAATAATCATATCTTGCCCAAGTACTTTCGCTTTCTACAGCATCATCAAGGGCATTTCGTCAAACTTGGGCTATTCAGCAAACGCACAATGTAATACACATAAAATTTAACATAAATTGTACATAACACTACACTAAAACAAGGACAAACAGTTTAAAATTCGTCATCTGAGCTAGCTGCAGTATTTGTAGTATTTAGTATTTTTGGTAAGCAAGTTAAAGTATTATTTGAATTATGTACATCTATATCTTAAACTGTATCTGTAACTGGTGTTACAGACGTATCTTAAGAATTTCATGGGTGGATCGTGTGACTAATGTTGAGGTCCTACGTAGAATAGGCAAGGAATGCGAGATCATTAACACCATCAAAGAGCGCAAACTAGAATATCTTGGCCATGTTATGAGGAATGAACAGAGATACGGCTTGTTGCAACTCATTCTTCAGGGCAAGGTATTTGGAAAGAGAGGACCAGGGAGAAGAAAAATATCTTGGTTTTAAAACCTGAGAAAGTGGTTTAATACATCGACAACCAGACTATTCAGAATAGCAGCAAGCAAAGTTAGGATAGCCATGTTGATC